ATATCAATTGCTATGATGTTAAAAGTATGTTATATATTTGTAGTTCATATATCAATTGCTATGATGTTAAAAGTATGCTATATATTTGTAGTTTGAGAAGCCCGAGGTAGTGGTATGGGTAAAGTTAGAATGGATTCTAATAGTAATAGGTAGTCTAACTGGTCTGGTGTTTATGGTAACCTGTATCCTAGCTCTGTGTTCCTACCATTCTGAACATTCTCTGTATGATTCTATAGAGAGAAAGAGTTATACTAGTGATAGTCAGAGGATAGTCTTCAGGTATTCATTCATTAATACAATTTTTCTGACAAACACCAGGCCTATGCACCTTATAGAACTCTCGACAGTTGACATTGAAAAATAGTAGGCTTATGCTACTGTCCTGGCAATATTTCCCTCTTGCACATTGCATGGTATTGTCCATTCTCATTAGCCCTAACAGATACAGAAAACATTTGGCATAAGATGTCTTGAGTATTAAGAATGGGTCTCTCCATTTACATTCACAAAGTTACATGTTACAAGTCATGACATTAATTTTCAAGCGTTAAAGTGAGATGAGATTGAGGCACTGGCCTAAAACAAAAACCAAGGGGCTTGAGATGATTGGTTTAAAATAGGTAAAGACAAAGAAGTTATGATAATATTGAATTTCAGTTTCTTTGTTTTTTAATTTTAATCATTGAATTGTATTCCAGATCTCGTAGTAGTATGCACTCTAGTACACAAGGTGAACATATTATCAATGATGAGGGTAATGAAAACTATCAGAATGATGATACATTAAAACGTGTTCCAGAACTACCAGATGAAGAAGCTGCTGCTGAAGCTATAGAAATGGTTAGTACAATTGTATTTATTGAGTCAAAACTCTTATCTAAATTATTATATAGCATTTATTTAGTTTGTACTGTCAAATGTACCCCCACTTAATTTCTGAGAATTTTCAAAATAAAGTTTTTATACGTTTTTACCCTAAAATATCTGTCACCATCAAACCCTCAATGGGTGCTTCCACAGTGCTTCTGCAGTTAGATCCCCCCCATGAAGTCAGTCTGCCCTCTATTTGTACGCACCCAGATCCAGGAAACTAGCACAGCCACTGAATTTACTTCATTGTTTGTATTTATTACTGACTGATTTTGATGTATAGGATTGTGCCACTATTTTGACCATGATATTTTATAGGAAGAGTTAAGACGAAAACAGAAAATGGCAGACAGCGATGGAGAGAGTGATACAGATGATAAAAAATCAATTAAGAGAAGATACCAATCTTCATCAAAACGAATACAAAAAGAAATGATGGCGAAGGAACGAAAGTTGAAAACATCCAACCCAGATACTAAAGATTATTCAGAATATTCATCAGATGAATCAGAAACTTCAGAAAAATATCCAAGAGGGACACGAAGTCCACAAGAAAGGAATGTAGAGAGGCAGAAGATTGAAGGTGTTGTCGTTCGTCCTAAGAAAGATATGACAGCCACCCATTCAGAAGGAGAACTAAGTCGACCAGATCCTTACACCAGGACATCATCTCTGATCCCATCCAGTGCTAGTATGGAACAGAAAGAGATATCTGATGTTTCACCTACAGGATTGGCTAGGACTCAACCAAAAGAGAATTTGGGAAGGTTGGAATCTCCTGCTGCAGATGATGGAGCTTATCCCTTTGTGGTTCAGGCAGATGTTCATCTTCAATCCCTAAAACCAGCAACATCTTCACCAATGTCTACATTTAGAAACTCTTCCAGAAAGGTGGCATTTGTGGATCCTGTGAATAGCCAACCATCAGAACCAGATATGAAGACTGTAGGTGATTTTCAAGATGTTTTTGATAAACTTCTGATTGGAAGTAGTAAGGATGAATCTCCATCGACTTATGGTGGTAGTGGGGCATTTGATTCAAATTCTCGACCAGACAGAACATACATGAATGTCAGTGGATCTGGAAGTGATTCTGGTGTAAAAAGTCCACGACCATACTTACCTCAATCTTTAGTCGCTGGAGCCAGAAGATCTCAAGAGCCATCTGGGTATCAACAAGGAAGAAATGGACAAAAACTCAATACATTTGGTCTTCCCAAACCATGGTCTCCTGGTGGAGTCAGTGATGCTCAAAGATCATCATTGGATTCAGGAATAACATCTTCCAATGGTACATTATGGCAATCATCTGCTTCCTCGGATGCAGGCAATTCCTCTCCTCCTTTGCCTCCTCCTCCTGATAGATATGAAGAAGAAAGTGGAATGCAGTTTGATTTTCCGTCACCACCAGAGGAACAGGATGAGGAAGGAGAATCCAGATATCAGAATGTCAGAGATAAAAGGAAGGCTGGAGGTGGTAGAGGGGGAAAATAGTAAGTCACTTTTTGCTTCCTTTCACCCATCTTCATAGTGTCAAGCCATTGTGACCTTTGTCTTATACCTTGATTGCAATTGCAACCTTTTGTGTGTTACAGAAGTTTGTAAATGAAGTGATAGGATTAGATTGCGATTACAACCAATCAGAGACCTCCACCAAAAGTCATAAGGTTTACAATCTTTTTGTCAAGGCTCTGATTAGCTGTACTTGCTGGTGATTATATATAATCCAGTCAAATTGCTGCAGTCCATGATGCAAGCAAGGTAGATATTGCAGTTAAGATATAAGATGAAGTTCATCATAGCTCTTCATTGTGGAGATGCCTTTCACCAAGAAAACAAATTGTTGTTCTTGAACATTGAGAACATTTATAACAATAAAGGCAAAAGCATAAAAACAAGAACAACCAAACTTTAAAAGTGTTTCAATTATGAATTTTATGTAAATATACCCAGATTGTCTTTGCCTTGTGATGTTTTATCATTTACATGATGACATATTATGCTTATAATGGATGTTTCAGAAGTAATTTGTGTATATAATCTAGTAGTAATTTTATACTTCAGCAATAACATTCATTCTAGAAAGCAATTTATTTTTTGAAAGCTGTTAATGTTACATCAATTTGTAAAGTTAGCAGTGTCATATTTAATAAGACATAACACCAGGGTTCGATGGATATTGAAAATATAAAAGTCTATAAGAGAAGAATTGTAGTATTGTAGGGTGAGGACACAGAATCAATCAGCCATTGGGGTTAGGGCCCTGGGAAACTCATTGGCCTGAGGACCCAGATTTGCTCAGTCTTCTCTTTAATAACAAACTGTTCATCATCAATGAATGTTATATATTGAGTTTTATTGTAATAGAAGCCAATATTTCTGTCTATTTTCAGTAGCCACATGACATTTCTATCTATTATATGTATAATGAGTGTTATAACTGGTGTATATTGTATGAAGAAACAAAATGGTCCGAGAGTTGATATTACTGTGTATTTACCACCAGGTTATCTCTCCAATCAGTCTACTATATTTACTAATGTACATAAAGATTGTGAAGTTATTAATGATAATAATCTACCCATCTTACAATATAGTAAGTTATATTTCAATCGGATATTAAAAGTATTTGAAATTTGCCTTAATGGTAACTTACATGATCCCATGATCTCATGATCTCATGATTTGCTATTTCATTCATTGAAATTCTCTATTTCTGACTTGATATAACATAATTTTATATAGTCGACCTGATATTTTCCTTGTATAGTTTATGATCTAAAACCAAAGACAATAACCATCTTATAAACTTGTCGGTATAAAAATATGAGAATAATGAAAAATTTCTAAAAATCGAACACGCCCAATTGCCAAAATCATTTCCAAATCAATTTTCAACAATCAGCTTTGATTTAATGAAGAAGGTTGTCCAGTTAAAAATCCTTGTGGCTGATTATGATGTACAATACAAACAAGTTGGAAGGAAAAAAATAGCTGAAGGTGACACATGAGTTGCTACCTTAGCCACTGATACTGATGCCATCTTGTTTATAATCACATTGTCAAGCTATTACGGACTTCATCTTACACTTTGTTTGCATCTTGTCACCTTTCTTGTATAACAGAAGTTTGTGAATCAACAATGTGATATTGGCTTGTATGCTGGCGAATACAGTTAATTAGAGCTCTTGACAGAAAGTCTGTAAACTATCAGCCATAAAGTCTTTTTGTCAAGGACTGTGTTCACTGGTGTACTATCCAATCAAATAGTTGTATTCTGTAATACAAGGAAGCCGGCTATTGTAGTCAAGGTTTAAGTCGAATTTATGCTTGATATTGTGAGGATGGTATATGAAGTATAAGGTCTTTCTAATATATAGTATTGTTTGATTTTCAGATATCAGAAACCCTATCCTGACTAACCTAGACTCTGTATTATGTCAGGACCATGTATGTGAACAAGGCTGTGATGAAGAAACTGGAATGTGTATCTGTAAGAAAGGATATAAATTAGATGATGCAGGACAATGTATAGGTATATTATAATTCTTTTTTATTTACCAGATACTTTCTTATGAGAGAAAACTGAATCAGTCCTATCTATTGTCATTTAAGTGATAAAAACAGAAAAAAATATTTTTTGCTCTTGCTTTTTTCTGGTCAGGCATTTTATCTTAAGCTTAGACTGACAGCTTACTGTCATACCTGTTGTTAGGTTAGTGATAAGTGAGCACAGCCAGGGCTGGATTACTCAAACATGAGTCAACCACATAAGAAGAACTTTGATTAAATCTTGTATTACAATTGGTATGCAAAATCAAATGAATAGTCAATCCAAACAGTCAGTATCAACATGAGACAATTAAGGTAGACCTTGAATAAGAATAATAATACATAATCCTAAAATATCACACCCCATATACAGGTACATGTCAGTCCTTTTCACAAGTACTTAAAAAATGATACATCTCAGTACTTTAAAGAAGTACTTGGACAATGATACATTATACATCTCAGTGCTTTTTAGAAGTACCTGGAGAATGATACATGTCCCAGCTGTAAAATTACTTAGAAAATGATATATCTCAGTCCTTTTTGGAAGTATAAATCTATTGTAGATATCAATGAGTGTATGGAAGGAGGGGCTAGATGTCACAAGGATGCTGGTTGTTTAAATAATAAAGGATCCTATAACTGTATATGTAGTGGAGAGTTTTATGGAGATGGCAAGAACTGTAGAGGTTGGTATAAATAATTCATCTTTCGTTTCACTTAATGAGGAGTTCCATTACAAACTAATATGTTGATTATATGCTTGGTTTAAGATGAATCAGTGTTTATTAGAGGAAATATGTACATAAATGCTTGTTTTTGCCTTGAGCTTTTCTTCTATAATTATCACACTTGGTATGTACAGTGGTGTATTTAGGGAAGGGGAGCAACCGGTCAGGAAAGGTCTTAATTTGAAGAGAAAATTTAGCCCTCATATAATAAAAATAAGCTCAGACCATCTGAAATTAGTTGGCTATGTGGGGGCCTCTGGATGCCAGACTGTGGACCAGACCTATAGACCTTTTGACCTCGCCTCCACCTCTCATTCTTGCCCCACCATTATACTGCAATTAAATTATTACCTCTAAATGCTCTCAGAAAGTTTTCAGATATGACTGATATTTTGTGTAATATGTAATGATATGTTCATATGTTATAGAATGTAAAGCACCATGTGTCAGAGGCACATATGAATATCAGTCATGTGACCTCCAAAAACAGAAAATTTGTAGACGTAAGTATAATGTGAGATAATAATATAATTATATAAGATAAGAAGCCTAAATTGAAGAAATATTACACAAAGGTTATGGAAGGGTCATGGAATTCATGATATTACTACCCAATGTATTAGTGTCTACGTTTTTACAAAGAGTGCCTATTATTTACAGTTGCCAGGATTTTTCCAGATTTAACTGAGCGTTAGAGGGAGTGTGCATTATATTCGCAATTATATAGTATATTATGTATAAAAATAAACTCTCTAATCCTCTTTTTCAGCATGTAAATCAACATGTCCAAAAGGATTTTTTATGAATCGCCCATGTGATATGAAACATAATGCTGAATGCAAAGGTAATTATAAATTATATAAAAATCATTTAATATACATTAATGTTTATAACTTAGACTTGGAATTTAATTTTGTTCATCTTTTTTCGATTTTTGCATGTGTATCATGGATGCTTTTAATGAAGGCAAAATTTGGCTTAGACTTGTTGATTTGTTCTATTGGTACTTATATACTACAAGTTGCATTAACATGGGCTGAATTACAAGTTATAATATTATATCATTCGGATAAATTCTGTAAAAAAAATAACAATATAAGGATGCAATGGAATTTTCAAAACCTCGTTTAAAAAATAAGCAATGCATTCAAAAGTGAAAACGTTATTGATGAAACTTTTCATCTTAATTCTCAAATTGCCACTTGAACCTTGATCAGTAATAGAAATGTAACTATTGATGCTCATTGTACTGAAAATAATAGTGAAATCAAATCTGAGAGCTTGCCTCGTTAGTACTTCGTTTGTTTATTCTACATAAACTATAGTTTATCGGAATGATATATATTAGAAAAAGCTGTTAGCTTCCATGTTGTCAAGTTTTTTTATGGTGTTATATATTTTCAGTTTGTAAACCTAGTAAATGTTCCAAATCTGATTTTGAATATAAAATGTGTGCTAATAGTCAGGACAGAGAATGCCGAGGTAGGAAGCTAGTTTTTATGTTTCTTTTTTTCCCTTAGATTTAATGGGATGTAAAGAGGTTTTCAAGCTTTTCTTTTAAACATTTTCTGGGGCATTTATGGCTTCTATTTTTATCAATAATTTTCTGACAGACATCTGTGGTTTCTGTAATTATAGAACTTTATATTTCATCACTAAAGCTACTAATATCTAATGGCCTTTGCAATAGCTACGTTAAAACGCTTAGTTTTAGTGAAATTGCAAAAACTACAAACATCTGACTGACAACTAGAATGGTGGATAATCTATCAGTTTCCCTGATACACATAAACCTATGAGAAAACCTCTTTACAGCCCCTTTAATATTAATGGTAGATACAATTCATACTGTGTGTTGGATAAGTAAATCTCATTTGATTCGTACTTGATGTTGGACCAAGGTAACTAAATTGGTATATATTGTCAGATATTGACAAGGTACAGTCTGTCCTTGCCCATAGTCTCCAAAAGTGCACAGATTTTACAAAAAGTTTGTTTCAGTGATCATGGTGTGCATTTTAGAAAAACATGGAGTTATGGATTAAGCCACAGTATGCATTGCATTGAAATATTAGTTAAACCATCCTCTATTTTTATTACCTACCCACTAAACTAGTATAACCAAATTTTACTTATATTAGTAGTTTATAGAGTATGCTTGATTTCAATACTTTGAAATATATCCTTTGCCATCTCTGGTCATAATAAATCGAGGATGTTTATCCTAAAAGGGAAGTAGGGGTGAGCCTTTGGAACATGTGCACTTAAAGCTCTGAACTGGTTTACTCTTTTTGTCAAATATTTTAGAACCTGGGGCTTTATTCTTGAAAACTTTCAAATTTCATATATAGTTTGTCATCCAATCAGATTACTGTTCTTAAAATCTGGATTTTGTTTAAGTTAAGTTTTGGAGAATAAGACGCCAGTAACAGTATCAATTTTTGCTTCCCACAAAAAAACTTATGTAAGCCTAAAACATTTGAAAACTCAAGGGATTCAAAACTTTTACCAGTAGGGATATTGTAATATCACTCAAATTTCATAAACCTGATTTATATTCATGTTTTTTTTACTGGTCCTGTGCATTTGATAGTAGAAATACAAATTTGATCAAAGTTTGGATTTGTGATACAGAATTTCTGCATTTCTCTCCCTTTAATGCCGTAACTGGTAAATGATGTCTAGTTTGTCAATTAATAAGTAGTTTAGATATCAAGTAGCTTTTCTGTTATAGTCAGTGTTGTATTTAGTTATTTATTACAAATTCAGATCAATGTATATAGCTCCTTTTTGATAAAAAGAGATGAGTGGGTGCCTGTGAATCTATGTAGGTTGGCGCTCCTCCCCCGGGGACATTTATGTTCTCCTGCCTTCTGAGATCCCACCTTAAGTCAATTTAATGTCTGTTAATATTTTTTATGGGGATGGGGGCTCCCTTACTGGGGGTTCAATGATAGTTGAGCCACTAACAAGGGTTTCCTAAGGTTTGCATTATCAGCTATACTGGTCAGATTGAAAGTAAAGGGTTTTTTCCTTTAAATAAAAAGAAGTAAATACGTGATTCTTTTTATTTCAGAGAGAAAATTATTAAAGCCACCAGTAGGATCTAATAATTTGATAATAGAGAATGTTTATGCTATACAGAATGATAGTAAAATAATAGAGTATATTAGACCATCAGATTTTATTGGACTGAGAACATATACTATTGATAGAGGTAGGTAGAATTTATAAATATCAGAGGACCAGAAGAAAATGATAACTCTTTTCGCCACATCAGTGGGTTTGTTTAGGTACTCGCACTTCGAATATATTAAAAATTCAGTTCTTGAATTTCAACAATGTTTATTAATCTCTGTCGTCCTGACAGAACTTTTACAAGCACACTAGCCAACTTCTCAAGGGAATTAAGGGAGGCAACTCTCTTTTACACATTATGTATAAATCAGGCCACGTCAATCACATAGGATGGCTCATGACACTTTTCACTTCAGGATTTTTCATAAAGTATCAAAGTTAACACCTTAATATTTTTACGTCTTAATTATAGAGATATTGGACATATTTTCACTAAATATTAGGTTGTAGGTTATTCATGGAAAATGGCATCGGGGTACATTTTAATACTTGGTCCTGGCTTGAGAACAACTCTTTTTGCAATTAGTGGTTAGATCTTAATATCTAGGATATAATTTCTACAGGTACTGATTTAAAAGTGGAAGTACACCTGACATCATTACAAGCCTCTCAGTTATTTGTACCAGTCAACTATAGCAGTCATCAGAGTGATGGCTTACCACCAGGTGCCAGGCTAGAAGATTTTAGACGATACTGTCCACATCCAGTACCTAGTTATTATAAACTCTTTTATGAAAGACATCAGGTAAGTCTTGTTAATTTTTTGTTTTTTTAAAACTGAAATAAGAAGGAAATTAACCAAAGACCCATAAAATATGTCAAATTACAGCAGAATGTTTGATTTTACTTCAGTGCTAACACAATTTACAATTTCTGCCTCTGTCTTCATTAGCCCATTAGTTGCAGAGGAGTAGACATAAAACTCCATTTATTTCATTTCATTCCACTTAAAGTTTCTGGACGAGAACACACAGTACAGGCATTGTTGGTTTGAATCTTACTTGTCTATTTACTGACAATTGTGTATCATTTGTATTTCTAGAACATCACCTATAATATAGATAGTAATAACCAAGTTAAACCATGTGAAACTTACAGAATGTTTGGTAAATTCCCGACTGCCAGGAACCTTAAAGAACAATCATTTTTAGCAGTGGAACCAGGACCTATTACTAATATCTTTGAAATTAAACCAAACTATTTTAAATATTCTACAATCTGGGTTCACAAATCAAAAAGGTGGGTGATTATGAAGTTCCAAATATATTAGGATGTCTGCAATATAAAGGTTTGATACTGTATAGCAAGCGAAAGGCTAAAAACATGGCTAAGAGGCACTATGGTAAAGAAATATGTGAAGGGATTGATACAGAAATATATGATTCTCATAGCTGTGGCAGCACATAAATAAGTTGGCTCTTTAGAAATTCAGACGTAAGGTAATGATATTTAATATAATTTTGGAATATGATTTTCAGATGTATGAGATACAGTGATGGTTGTGATAATTGTACTATACAGTGTGTAGTTCAGATGAAAAATAACGAGAACTGTAAAATAACTGGTAATGATAATGATAATGGTTGGTCACCAAGGTTACAAGCATGTTATAACTGCTGTGCTAGGAAGAACTGTACTGAGAATTGTAAAGAATACCATAAAAAACATTGTCAGTCTAAAAAGTAAGTACTGGTTGTATTAAAAAAAATGTGCTATTTGAGTGCTTGGGTTGCAGCTTGCCATCTTAGCTCTGGTTAAGCAAGTACTTTAGGCTTTCAACACTTTTTGTGATCCAGTTTGGAGAGCCTTCAATGGGCTAAAAGTTAAAGTGCAG